AGGACAGAGGTCCTGCATAGGAAGTTAGTGCATAGTGACTCCTGTTGTTAATTAACAATTAACACTCTTATGTATGACATCAGTGATTACTCGAGGCTCTTGACAAGAGCTACCTAGGCTATGGAAGCCCTTTTGAATCCAACAACTCTGTCAGTATTTAGACAAGGCCATAGCCGAAGTGGAAGTTCTTTCTTCCCTTCAGATAAAAGTACCGCCTTCTTTGATGACCACTTCTTTCCACTGGGGTCTCATCCACAGAAGTCCTTCATGTAGGACATTTTTTGCCAGTGTCTTAGCTTTCTATGCCTGAAACGCTCTCATGGGTTTCTCAGCCAGACCAGAGTGCCTCAAGTGCTGATTCTGAGGTCAGAGTGCTACTTAAAGCGATTGTCTTTTATGAGTCTGCAGTATGGACTGCTTCCCATGTTGGACCATCACTCCTTTTTTAATTTTATCCATTATTACAAGACACTTAATCCTATCTATGTGATCACTTTAACACTTCAAATGCTGTTTTTACCACCCAGCTTTGGGGTCCCATGGCAAGTTTTTAAACTGTACCCTTAGAAGTAAGTCTGTAGGAATGTATGCAGAACTATACAGCTTTACAGTTACAAACTTCATCTACTTCATAATAAAATGGCATTAATGCTGAATTTTCAATACCTGAAGTAAAAAGAACTCTGGGCAACTTTGTTTCACTGAAGGAATGTATGACTTAGTGAAATGAGTTTGTGATGCTGCTTTCCTATGGCATGTATACAATATGCTAAAGGATGTTAACTTGAGTGCCCTGCATTTATTTACATGAAGGGATTACTACTATGATTTAAGATGTTGGCTTCCTTCCTCACACTGGAGAGCACAGGTTGGTTCAGTGGAGAATCTTGCTAAGCATACAGTTAGTTCTCAATCAGGCTACCTTGCATTGGGGAATCACCTTCCTCTGTGAATTTTCTGGATTGAAGGGCAGTCCATTGGTATTAGCTATGCTTTCTTTAGCTGTAAAATTAATGGATAGCACTATAGGACCATGTGGATCTTTCCATGAGTAAATTTTCTGGAATGGACTTCATAGAGGAATACATATTAGTTATGGAATATATTAAGTCATCTGAGGAGAACAATTTTTCCATGAAAATATTACCGGACTCAGCACCCTACAAGGCAAAATGGTGAACATGTTTGAGTGCCCAATTTTAAGATAATCAGGCAGAAAATAGTGTGTAGTGTTTTCCCTTTGCCCTTGTACACTTCCAAGAACTCAGTGCTGCACAGATGTGAAATATTGATATAGTTCTGTTTACGAGGTAGGCTTAGGAGACTTAATTCTAGTTCAGAGTAAGAGGTCTTTATAAACTTGAAGGTTTGAGGGAGAAAAGTGACATTGGGAGAAAGAATTGCCGCACATCTGATGATTCCAAGTAAAACAATCTCTGTTTCACAATTTCGCTGGAACATTATATTCTAAAGCTGTATTTCTAAATGTACGATTCCATGAACCAACTACGTCAGAATCACCCAAAACATTGCTAATGCTTGCCTCCTCCAGACTCACTGAATCAGAATTGCCACGATGGATGCTCTTTTACAAGCTCACCAGAGTTTAATAACCTCTGAAGACAGGAATGCAATTCATCATTTCATTATTTCCTTATTTTTCAGTTTCACCTCCACCTAGCCAAGAAGCCTTTTTGAGAATCTCTCATATGTATATTGTTTTCACATTAAACCTAAAAGGCACAAGGAGTCTCTAAAGTAGGTAGTTCAGTTTTCCAAATGAGGTCACAGGGCTACAAGGATTGAGGAAGTTGTCCAAGGTCAAGTAGCTAAACTGGGATTTCGGTCAAGGTCTTCTGAATTCCATTCTTGTCAGACACAGCCCTGTAGGGATGTCACACAGAGAACACAAAAGGAAAAGGACACCAGGTGTGCACTGAGTGACCCTTGGTAATGTTCCATACTTATGACCTTTATGTTTAACTGAAAAAGTGCACAAAGCCTCCAGTGGGTGCAGCTGATAAATCCCCAGAGTAGTTTTGTGCTTTCCAACTGAGCTGGTTAAAAATCCCATCAGAGAGTCTTTGGGACTTTTTATAAACCATGGAGTAGAAAAATCCCCAAAGTGCACAACAAACTACCAAGCTACTCACCACATCCCTTCCAGATTTTACAAAATGTTTCTGAATACAAATATCTCCTGTGATTGTAACATAATCATAATTTTTTTTGGTATCTGTGCAGAAGCTGCTTTTCCTAAGTAGGTCATTTTTTTTTTCAAGCTTAACATCCAAACTTGCTTAAAAACCATTTACCTGATAAACTGTTGCACTGTCCTCCAATTTATGGGTAACTCTTCCATTTTCACCACTGTCACTTTCAATCCTCTCTTCTGACAACTCCTCCCTGTCATGGAGATTTGGTGCATTGCCTTCCCATGGCTCTAGAAGCTATGAAGCCCTCTGTCAATACCACTGCAGCCTGGCCTAAGGCCCCTAGCACAGCATTCAACCCAATCCCCAGGAGTGAAAGTCATCCCATCTGTCCCAGGGTCAAAGAAATGCCCTGTTTGCTAATAATGAAGCCCATTTAGTTGACTAAGAGTTTCCTGTATTGTTTGGTTACAGTCTCTAAATTCTAAAATGATTGAGGTGTGCTGATAGATTTGAAAGAGATCTTGCTGTGGTGTTTCTTTGTAATGGATAACACTAACATACCTCAAAAAGAAATGCAAACAAGTTTCATTACCATTACCAACCTTCTTTGCCATAATCTTTGTAAAAAAAAAAAAAAAACAGTAACTTTTAGGTGGCATTATACTATGGTAGTTGTAGAGGATGTATTAGTTATTTTTATTAAAAAAGTATTCCTTTAAATGTCAGAATAGAATTGTGGAAATTGAAAATCACTGGTGTTAAATGGGAACAAAACTAATGATTCTGAAATGCTTATGTTAAAAGGTTTTTGAAACTGAGTGCTTAGCTTCTGTAATATGCTTTTCCTGACAGTCATGCAACTCTTGGATATCCTCACTCAATGCAATTAGTAAATTTGAAAGCTATATTTATTGTGCATTAATTCAGTTCAGATAAGGAGAAGAGTTTCCCTTGACTAAAAGAAAATGTGTTTAAATTGAACCAAAGGAACTGCAGTGCAAATATGGTCATTGCCAATGAGTTGTCAATCAGAGCATAAACTTGGTCTTTGTATCTGGGCAATTTGTTAGAAAGGTAAGATTTTGTTTGAACCTAACATAGTAATAAAACACAGCTAGCTAGAAAGATAGTATAGACTGCAGTGCTTTAAAATGTTCCTGGAAAATTCACATTTTTTTGAAAGATTTATTTTATTTATTTGCAAGAAACAGAGAAAGGGAGACAGAGTTCTTTTATCTGCTAGTTCACTCCTTAAATGGCTGCAATGGGCAGGACTGGGCCAGACCAAATCCAGGAGCCAGGAGCCAGGAGCACGTGGGTGCAGGGACCTAAGTACCTGAGCCATCTGCACTGCTTTCCCAGGCACATTAGCAGAGAGCTGGATCAGAAGTGGAGCAGCCAGGAGTTGAACTGGAGCCCATATGGGATGCTGGCATTGCAGGCAGTATCTTTACTAATTACGCCACAGCGCTGGCCCCTACATTATGTTTCAGTTCCATCTTTTTGTGAATTTTTTGAAGTCCTCTAGTTTGTAATTGGATATATACAATCGGTAGTATTTTCCTGTTCCTTTCATTGCCTAGCATATGCCCCACCCATCCCATTAGCAAAGAGATTAAGTACAGTGGTTTACCTTCTTAAGCATACCAAATAATTACCTAAAATTTTAAACTTCTGTATCTGGAGAGAATCTCTTCATTTTTCAGTGTGGCTAGCACTCAATTCACTCTGATGTTTAAAAATTTATGCAGCCTATTACAAGGGAAAGACCACTAGCTTTTTTTCCTTGAAGAATTATTTATTTATTTATGTATTTCAAAGGCAGAGAGAGAGAGAGAGAGAGAGACTCTTCCAACCATTACTACCATTTGTTCACTCCCCAAATGACTGCAATAGCAGTATTGGACCAGGCTGAAGCCAGGAGCCAGGAGCTTCATCCAGGCCTCCCTCCTGAGTGGCAGGGACTCAAGCCCTTGCAGTTTCCTCTGCTGCTTCCTTGTAGCAGCTTAACCAACTGCACCACAACCTTCTCCCTACCTCCCCCTAAGATTATTGGACTCAAGGAAGAGATGTTGAGTTTCAATTTAGAACACATGCCACACATGGTCATACTGCCTGTGGTCCTTGGTCACTTCTATGCCATGAGAAAAATATAACCTTCATCCAGGGTCTGTTGTTCGAGTGGTGAAATGTCTTCATTCACTTTGTGTTGTGACAACAAAATACCTGAGCTGATAATTTATAAAGAAAAGAGGTTTATTTTGGTTAAAGATTCTGGGGACTGGCAAGCGCAAAAGCATGGTGCCGGCATCTGCTTGGCTTCTGGAGACAGTCACCGCCCAGTGGAAAAAAGAGAACGGAAAATGGGTGTGTGGGAAGGAGCGGACATGGTGGGTGGATTCCTGCTGTAAAAACCCAGAGTCACAGTGACCTATTGTTGTCCTGCAAGGGGAGAGCTCACTTATGCAAGAAAGGCAAGAATCCATTCATGAGGGCTCCACCGCCTCCCACAGGCGCCACTTCTCAACAATTTCGCAGTGCAGGATGAAGCCTTAGTATGAGTTTTGATGGAGATGACCCATGTTTAGGGGATAGCATGAGATATATTTTATGTGGCAGTGCTTGGCTCTCTTCCCTCTGTAATGGTACTTCAAAAGGTGTATGGAAAATGACTTCAGAAGTAAGTTTATTTTGGTGCTAAAAAACCATTTGAAATCCATGCATACTGCTTGCTTTCACAACGTATATCTATCATGCACTTTTGGAAGACTGCTATATGAGATTGTAGCCCAGGATGGTGTTGAAAGAAAGCAAATATGTGTTTTGGAAGGCCTTGTTTCCAAACCAGCGAGGCAGCTATAGCTTCATGTGTAAAGGGAGTGGACTTTTGTAGCTCACTCATTTGCTTGGGACCTTTAACTCTGTTTCTACACTTCCCTGCATGGCTCCTCTTGTTAGTACCAACATTATCCATAGAGAATGAGTAGTTATCCATACACCTGGGAGGACTTCTTTCATGTGGTAATCAATATATTTATATATTTATATTTTATTTTATAAACATCAGATCACAACTAAACAGATGAACAGATTAACCACAATATACTATTTTACAACCAAATATTACTGTTTTCTCACAATTAAACGTATTCACTCCTATGGCTTTACTTCTATCAGTGACCTGAAAATTGGTTTACACAATAATAACTAAGTATCTTTCCTCCAGACTTTTCTGGATAACAAAAAAATTAAATGATGTATTGAGGATTTTACTGAAGCTACTTTACTGAAACCTTTTGATTATGGCCTCTGTACTGAAGACTAACGGGAATTTTTCCAATTAACTTTCTTTTTTTTTTTTTTTTTTTTTGACAGGCAGAGTGGACAGTGAGAGAGAGAGACAGAGAGAAAGGTCTTCCTTTGCCGTTGGTTCACCCTCCAATGGCTGCTGTGGCCGGCGCACCACGCTGATCCGAAGGCAGGAGCCAGGTACTTATCCTGGTCTCCCATGGGGTGCAGGGCCCAAGTACTTGGGCCATCCTCCACTGCACTCCCTGGCCACTGCAGAGGGCTGGCCTGGAAGAGGGGCAACCGGGACAGAATCCGGCGCCTCAGCTGGGACTAGAACCCGGTGTGCCGGCACAGCAAGACGGAGGATTAGCCTAGTGAGCCGCAGCGCCGGCCCTCCAATTAACTTTCAAATCTGCCCACAACCTCTAAGTTCAAAAAAGTACCATCTTTGAAATATTTGGGTAAATACGTTGCAAGTCAAAAACTCATTCACAAGGCTCTGTTAGTATAATAACTGATTTTAGTAGTCTGCTAAATACATCCTGTATCAATTTTCTTGATTATAAGAATGGAAATATTTTTAAAAATAACAGAACGTTTCATTACATCAATTTCCCATCAATCAATCAACATCACATAATGATGATTATCTTGCCATTTCCGCAGGTTGGCGGGAGGGTCTTGTGCTCGCAGCTCCCCTTGTTGCCACTGCATCATTTGTCTGGCCAGACTTAGGTCCTCTTCAGCCTGAAGAATCAGCTCTTCTATTTGACCATCCCAGAGTTGGTCTTGTAACTTTTTAATGCCTGATTCCACTTTCACCACACTCAGCTTCTGACTTGTAACCTGCTCTGTGTATTTTCTGTATGCTGCGCTTCGCCGCGTCTGTTCCAGACCATCACGGAGCTTTGTGTCCAATCTTCTTAGCCTCTCGTGTGGCCTGTCACATACAGCCAATCCCACAGGGCCAGTGTTCATCCTCTGCAGCCCCCGTGGCTGTCCTGAGGAGCCCAGAACACACTGAGGACTTTTGTATGATGAAAACCACCCCAAATGTGCTTCTCTCCTTCTTGGCTCTTCATGCTCCCTGGCGTGTTCCTTTTGTTCCCCCCACCCCACCCCTACTCATTTCAATTACTTCTCCAGTTGCTTTTCCATCCCTTTGAAGCTGTGAGCTGTCTTGTAAACTTGTGCATGCTACAATTTCCCTTCTCATGTTATTTTTTAAGATTCATTTATTTGAAAGTCAGGGTAACAGAGAGAGAGAGAAAGAAAATCATCCATCCGCTAGTTCACACCTCAGACAGCTTCATCTGCAGGGCTGGGCCTGGCTGAAACCGGAAGCCAGGAGCTTCTTCAATCTCTGGTCTGAGTGGCGAGGGCCCATGGACATAGGCCCTCTTCTGCTGCTTTTCCCAGGCCATTATCGGGGAGTTGGGTTGGAAGTAGAGCAGCTGGGACTCAAACCATGGGATACTGGCGTCACAGGAGGCAGCTTCCCTGGGCAGGCCACAGTGCCAGCCCCTCAGGTTGATTTTAAGTGACCCTCTTTAAACTTCATTTTTCTTCTTGGCCTCCCCCTGCAAAATATCCCCTTGAATCTCAAGAAGCAGCTGATGACTTGATTTGAAATCAGCTGCGTGAGTTCAGAACTATATATGACTCCCTGTAAAATTCATGTAGTGCATGTAAAAAGACTATTTTAAAAAGAGGTATTTTCCAGTACTAGGAACATACCAGGGAACAAAAAAATGGCTTTGTTAATAGATAATGAAAAAACTTAATGAATACCAACAGTAAGCACACTCAACTTTGCCAATTCATGTAGTTATAACATATTTGAGATTCATTTTATCTACTATTAATTGTGCCTAAATCCTTAAACATTCTTTTCCTATTTATGCAACTCTACTACTATTGACACTGAGACCAATGTCAGTTCCAGAGAGTAAGCTCCTCCCAAATATTTTATGTCTGTTCTTTTCTTGAGTACATGCCATTTGCATGGTAAAAAACCATTATCAATACTGTTTAACACTTCCTTTTTCTTATAAAATACCTTTTTTTTTAAAGATTCAGTAAGCCCAAAGCTTTCTCCCTGGGAGAAGGTCTCCTGACTACCCTATAGTACAACATTCGTACCACAAATGGCTACTTGGGTTCTAGGCCCAGTGCCACATTCAGCTAACTTGCTTTCTTTATCTTTTCTCTGAGTCTTTCTCTCATAAATTTTGTGATTTTACTTATCATTGCAAATGACACATCTGAATACTATATTGCATATATAAAATATTTACCTATTTGAAAGAATCTAAGCTATATAAGATCATTAATTTATAAACGTGATATATTCAAAATATAAAATAGAGGGAGATCATGCTAAATTTCTCCTTAAAGAGTTCAATTAGAAACACATGCTTTATGTTTTTGTTGTGTCATAAAATTAATGTTTTAATAGTACTTTGTTACTTAAGGTATTCCAGTAAGCAAAATGAAATATATTGATGCATGCCTTATATTCATTAAACTATTTACTCATATGTGCAAGTACAACATGTGTCTCAGGAAGTTATGATAAAATTATAAATGTGAATCAGAATGCTTTAACAGTGACTTCTTGCTCTCAGGGGAATTCTGTCACTTTTGTAAAGATACACCATTTTTAAAGTGTGTATGTCTGTGTGTGTGAATTCCTGTTGCTTGAAATACTGAAACCATACTCAAGTCTTCAGTATTTATAATGGGATCTAATTAAACTATTCAAAATTGGAAATAACCAAAGAGTACATAGCCCTAGGAGCATCATAGGTTTGAATGCCACTTATGCAAATTAGAAAATAAGTCCTTTGCTTTCATCAAAGCTACCAATTGTCACATAGTCCATGACATTTGGAGGAAATACGCCTAATGGATATAACAGCTGTCCTCTGGTATCCTAAATATTGATATTAAGATTTTACATGCATAAGAATAAACCTTTCAAGATATGGTTGTAAGTAAGTTCCTCCTATAGGATAAAGATCAAGGAGAACAATTCTGGTAACTCAAGTGACTTGCTGCTGGAAAACTAATATTATTTCTAGAGTATGCATTTTCAACTGCATTATCTTTTTATCAAGATTAAAATATCAATATCAAAATAATTTTAAGGGTCCATGTCATAGTATTGGCACTGCCATTTTTTGATTAGAACATTCCCAGCCGGTGCCACGGCTCACTAGGCTAATCCTCCGCCTAGCGGTGCCGGCACACCGGGTTCTAGTCCCGGTCGGGGCGCCGGATTCTGTCCCGGTTGCCCCTCTTCCAGGCCAGCTCTCTGCTGTGGCCAGGGAGTGCAGTGGAGGATGGCCCAAGTGCTTGGGCCCTGCACCCCATGGGAGACCAGGAAAAGCACCTGGCTCCTGGCTCCTGGCTCCTGCCATCGGATCAGCGCGGTGCGCTGGCCGCAGCATGCCGGCCGTGGCGGCCATTGGAGGGTGAACCAACGGCAAAGGAAGACCTTTCTCTCTGTCTCTCTCTCTCACTGTCCACTCTGCCTGTCAAAAAAAAAAAAAAAAAAGACTCAAAAAAAAAAAAAAGAAGAATATTCCCATCACTAAATGAGAGGGTTTGACAGGATTTTCTTTGAAAGAACGTCCTTTCTTTATCCATGGAAGCTTACGCAGACAGGAGAGCTCTAATATAACACTTTGGGCTGAACTAAGAGAATGAGAATGGAGTCTTTATCTCTACTTGCTTCACTTATTAGGAGATATTGAAGAAATATAGGAGTTAACAAGCTTTGGAAATTTTGCAAATTGTCGAAAAGGTACTTCTTCTCTCCTTATATTATCTCTAACGTGTGCTCCACTTCAGCCAGTGCATTTTATCGAACATACAAATGTAATCATGCTGCTGTCTTAATTCAGCAACAGTTCTTCAATAGCTCCCCAACCCATACAAATGTATACTCTCATTACATTTGAATCAATACGATTTCTCATAGTGTATTTATTTCTTATGGTAGACATAAGCTGATTGGCTTAAAGGATATTATTGTCTCACAATTCTGGAGGCTGCTAGTCCAAAATCAAGGGGTTGGCAAGGCCATAATTTCTTTAAAGCTTCAAGGGGAGAATCCTTTCTCACTCCCAATTTATGGTAGCCACGGGTGTTCCTTGATCTGTGGTGGCCTAACTCCAAGCCTTGCTTCTGTCTTCACACGCCCAGCTCCCACTCTGCATTTCTTCATCCTTCCTATTGTGCATGTGGCTGTCCAAGTTTCCCTTTTCTTTATGGACACCAGTCTTATCTCTGTCTGCTTAAAGGAGGGATTCTGCCAGGTGGTTCTCACCATTGCAAAGCATTGGTCATCCATAGGAAAGGAGCCTAGATGTGTTAGAATTCCTGAGCAGGTGACCCGGCTGCACTGGCTGAAAGACCAACAACAGATGTCTGTAGTTTCCAAGGTGGTGATATGACAAGGTATTCACGCACTGATTGCTCTCAGAGGGGATGACCTTTGATGGCTGAAATTCAGAAATTCAGAAATTGACTTTGCATGAACCATATGACAGACTTTCTGTTTGCACCATGAACTAGAAAAATAGAAGTCTGTGTTTTTCCCCTTGAGCATTTATTATCTTATAAAGAAAACTTTTTTCTTTTGAAGTGAAAATGTCAGTTTTCTAAAATATCACCACCACAACAAAAGTTGGCACAATCAAATCAAACTCTAATATTCTTAGAATTATATGGCCAGCGTCTTAGCTGAAATGGTACCAATATAATTCCTTTCAGTGACCCAGGAGATACTTTCATTTATCTCAGTGAATACTTTTGCATGAAAGCTTGTGGGTTCAGAATTTGAAGTTGTGGAATCAGGAGCTAAGTTGGTAGAAAAGAAAATTCAAATAATCGGTTTCCCATATGCATAAAACCAGAGGGAGTACATCATGTTAAAGCTATTAATATAAAAATTATGTTAAAATGTATTGATTTGGGAAAAATATTATATCAATGATAGATAATTATTATCATTTGGAAGGTATTTTTATACATTTTATGGATTTTTAAGGGAGAAAGCATATTTTAAATTATTTTGTAGTTTGTGTACTTTCAAATTTTCATAAATTTTTGCTGTTTTCTAATAGCTGTTTATCCTACCTGCTATAATCCTTTTTTCTCTTGGAAGTTATGGAGTCTAAGATTTTAATCCTGGTGCTTGTCAATCCAAGGAAGTGACCAGAAGTGTACACTTGTGAAGTTGAGTTTATGATCCATTCGGCAAACACTTTCTGAGCTCTTCTCTGTGCTGGTGTTTGCTGCAGACTTGGCTTCTACTTCTCAGGTAACCAAAACCAACCCACCAATCAACAAAGCTAGTCAAAGAGCAAACCTACCAAGCACCTCTAATGTATTTAAGAAGGCCCCCTCTGTGGAGGAGACATGAAGACCGATGCCTTAAGGATGTCAAAACGAAGGGGACAGCACTTCAAGCAGAAGGAAGCACTTGAGCAGAGCCCAGGACAGAAGAGAACTGACTGGCAGAGAGAGAGGTCCAGCATGAGCAGAGCAGAGAAAGGAAGGAGAGGAGTGGGATAGGTGGGCAAGGGTAGACATGTTCAGGCTTTTATGGGCTTGGAAAAGACTACGAAATTGATTTTCTGTGCTAAAAAAGAATGAAATTCTGCCTTTTGAACCAAAAATGAATGTAGCTAGAGACCATTATGCTTAGTGAAGTCAACCAGGCCCCAAAAGACAAAAACCACATGTTTTCTTTGATTTGTGGTAGCTAATACATAGAGTACCAAAAAAAAAAAAAAAAAAAAAAAAAAGCAAACAAAACTTAAGGTATACAGTGAAGTTAACATCATGGGATTTGATTGTTATTTATAGCCTTTATATTCCTGGCAGAAGAGGGATCTGTCTGCTTTTTCCTTGTTGGACTCTTTTATTTAGTGGAGGACTAAGCCTGTGATTTTAAAGTAAATTAAAAATGTTATCACACACAGAAAATGCCTATCGCCCAATCTAAGTGAAAGCAGAACTGAGTTCCCCTGTAGAAATTTCCCCCAGCTGATAGATGGGGATAAAGAGCATATTCAAATGTCATTGTAGCATGTGACAATGAGAGGACAGCAGATTAAAGTAGCAATGACCTAAGTACAGGTTTTGGAAATCAGAGGTTGAACATGGTATCAGGAAGTGTGACCGCATCCTAGAATAAGGGTGGGGTTTGAATGCCTAGGGATTTCATGCTTCTAAAAAGAGAGGGGATGGAATTAGCATTTGTTAAGACCTATTTGTGTCATGTATTTTAGGTACATTATCCTTTAATTCCAATAATAGTCCCAAGAGGCAATATGATTTTCCCCTTTTACCAATGTGGGAACCGAGAGTCAGCGAGGGCAGATGTTGAACTCAATTACTGTAATTTGTCAGCGTTCACATCTACACCAGTCCTCCCAAGTCCCCCTGTTCTTCTCACAGCAAGGCCCCAGTGGATGTGTAGC